TGTATATATGTATATATATACACATATATACATACTGTATATATGTATAAATATATACACACATATATACAGTATGTATATATGTGTATATATATATACATATATACATACATTATATATACATATACAGTAGACAAGATATCAGATGTTGCTGTAGGAAGCTGCTCTATCACTTTCTGTCAGGTGTTCATTAATGCACACACTTAACAATAACTGACCAGACTTGGGCAACTACGATCGACCCACAACCGCTGGACTTTCTAATCCAAACACTTGTACAAGGTATTGTAAAAACCGGTCCTTCTGTTTCCTGCATTGCAACACACTGACTGTAATTTCAGCTCAATGCCACTAAATGGCAGCAGACAGCATCAAATGTGTCCAATTATGTAGGAAAGTTTATACTTGTAGACTTTATTTTAATGATTAATTTTTTTATATTATTGAAGTATTAATGGCCATGGCTGGTTGTGTATGAGCTACGCAGTGTTCTGTTCGAAGAAATGCTGTTCAAATGTTTAATGTTGGTAGTGACAGAGTTCGTAAAACGTCAAACAAATTTTGGGGAGAGAAGGCCTGAAAAACGCGGGATCTTTCTTTTGGTGACGTTTTCAATCCCTCAATGAGACGTCACCATATCTGACAAAACAAATACATGATGAAATCAAATCTCAAACGTAGCTTTACGTCACGCTGTGACATAAGAACCAACGTTGAGGCAATAACGACAGCGCGGTCGAGCTGCCGCTGATGAGAAATAACCCGTCTTCGTGGCTTTTATGAGTTTAGCCAGTTTCGAATCCAATCGGTCCACAATGCAAGTTTGTCTTTTTTTTTTTAAAATTAATTTAATCTTAATCTCAACCTCTCCTTCTCACCCTCTTCCCCCCCCGTCACACTTCCCCTGCAACATCTCCCATTTCTTTTATCCCCCCTAACATGTGCCTCCCACTCGTCTTTCTTCTCCCTTTTTTTCCCTTCTCGTCCCTCTCCTCTGTCTTTTGGACATTTCTTTTAGTCTATTTCCCCCTCCACCATCCCTCCAGCTCCCTCTTCTTCTCTCCCCCTGTGATGAATGAGTCTGTCTGCTGGGTGCAGTTCATATTTACTGAACAGGGGAGCACACACTGTCAGTCTCTCTCGCCCTCCACATCTCTATCCCTGCGCTAAGGAGACAGAGGGAGCAAGAGGTTAGAGCGAGAGAAGAGGAGAGGAGAGGAGGAAAAGGAAGAGGGAGGCTGCGGTCACAGATCAACTCCTTCACCAAATACTGTGGGGCGCTCAGATCAGGGGGGAGAGAGAGAGAGAGAGAGAGAGGGTTGTTAAGAGGGAGATGTAGAAGTCTTTCATACATCTTGGCTAACTTGTCAACATGGTGATGCTAATAGGGAATAAACGGCGTCTCTCTCTGCCCCTTCATGTGGAACTCAACATCCCACACTGAGCACTCAACGCAGTGCAATTTACCAGCATTTTCTTTTCCTTCATCCTTTGTGCGAGCCGTGCTTTTAGCACATTTGGACCTCAGTAAAAAAAAAAAAAAAAAAAAAAAAAACCAGCCTCTACGGGCGAGAGCCTCACCAAATACACAAAATACTTACGGGTGCGTCTTACGCCCACGCTCACCCTACACATTCGCGAGCGAGTCAAACTGCGTATTATGACCCGCGTATTGACCCCTCTCTGATCCACGAATGAGCCGAGCGTATACGAGGCCCGTGGAGCCCAGAGGGACGGGGGGCCGGAGCCCCGCGTAGCCACCGCCTCTTCCCACACGCGCTGACCTCAGTGGCCAGCCAACACCAAACCCAGTGCGGCGTGACGACTCCTAGTGACACCCAGCGCCGATGCTCCTCGGCCAAATTGACAAAAAAATATAGACAGTAAATTCAAAGGAAAATTGGATGGCTCAAAGTATATTACAGGAAAAAAAAAAACATTCGATGCCGTACCGTACCATTCAATAGGAGGTAATTTAATTCTCCGAGAGCGACACGAAAACGCCGAACTGTCCGTCAGAGGGGACAAATTGAAAATGCTTCTCCATTTGGCTCCGTGACGGGGGGAAGACTTAGGAAAAATGGACGGTGGTATTTGGTTTGATTTGTGGCTCATTTGCCGCCATCTCTACCCTCTACCTGTTGATAAATATATGTGTCATGATTACAACTAATGTCAATGAAACTATCCTTCCACCCGGTACAGTATCTTTAGGGGCAGACCAACAGAGGCAGGACGAAAATGGTGAGGGGGGAAAAAAAAAAATAGAAGAATGCTAAAAGCCCGAAGGAGAAGCATCATCTCACCATCATCTGATTATTAAGGAAAATTGGCAAAAATTGGATATGGGGGGAAGTTTTCTCAGGTGTGCAAGAGAGCCGGAATGCATCAAATGTGAAAACAATGACCAATATCAGAGCAGATGGAAATAAATATAGCCCCCCCCCCCTGTGGATAAATCACTCCTGGAAAATATCCTTTAGCTGCCCTAAAAGCCCTCCGCAGCAGAGAAATGAAGGTGGTGAGGTCAAAAGGTGGCACTACAGGAGCACTCTCAGCCCAATCAACAATGCTTGGAATGAAGCTACGTCATCAAAGTACCGTATGCTGTAGGTTAGATGCAACGCTGAGCGTGGGCTTCTTGTCCAAACTTTACTTGGGGAGTGCTGAGCTCACCTTTCCACTCAAACATCCTTTTCCTTAGCTATCTATTTCCCCCTGGTGCTCGTGGGGAGTAACTGCGGCTGTTTCCCAGACGCCTGAATTCATCACAGACCCCCATGCCTGATTGAAGGCAGTGATGCAAGATGACGATGAAATTCTTGGGGGAGGAGGGGGGATCAAATTAAAGATGCTTTTCTTCTCGTAATTAAATACTAAAAATATTTTTTTTTTAAAATCTATATTGTGTTTTATTCACAAATAGGTTTCTTTTATGAAGATTCCTCATAACATATCATTGTCATATAACTCTAAGGATTTTTAAAATGTTCAAAATTCTAAGGATTAAAAAAATTAATTAATTGAGAATTTTTTTTTTTTTCAAAATATATTGGTTCATTTTACCTGTTTTTTCTTCTGGGTATTTTTTTTTTTTTTTTTTTAAGGTCAGAACTTCTATCTGCACAACTAACAAGAATGTATTTTTTATAAAAATAAAAACAATTCATTACAAAATTAAAAAAACAATTTCAGGAATGCAAATTGTCGGATAATAATAATAAAAATAATAATTCTATTTATTTTTGCTAATATTCATAATGATAATGTTGCAAAAAAAAATCAAAAATAAAAAGTGACAACATGCATCACGACGTACTCTCTCTACAGCTACGGCTTTTTTTTTTACCTCCCTCTCCCACCTCACCTCCTCATCCCCGTTTCGTTCTTGTCCATCTGCCTGCCATGCCAACGGAATGCTCCAGAAATGGCCACAAACACAATCTATCTCAATTTTCCAAATCTATTAACTTTCTTTGTGTGGCCTGCTCTCTCTTCTCGCGGCAGATCTTTAAAAAGCGTGGTTGTTCAATAATTATGATAACTGCAACGGGGGGGGAATTAGAGAATCCACCTCATTCATCTCTGCACCCCCTCCTTCTGCCCAGACATGACGCAGCTAAATGAAAAATGGACACGCTTTAAGAAGTATTGATTCCTGCTTTAAACAAAGGTACAGTCAATATTATTTACTCCTAAATATATCTTTGTTATCTGCGCTGCAGTCGTAGCCGCTGCTCTGTCTCCTTATTGCCGACATAAAAATAATAGAGCAATTCCCCTGGAATTGACTGAGACCAGTCTGGTCTCAGTCTCAGAATTCTACTGATGCACATCTTGGGTATAATTTTTAAGCGTGAGCAAGATCCTTCCTCTGATGACTGCCCCCTAGAGGCCGATTATATTATTATATATTATATTATATGTTATATTATATTATTTGCTGATCACTATCATTCAGACAAAAATAATCATATATACAATAAACAATAATAATAAATTACTTTCACTTTTTTGAATCATTCTTTAGTTGATGTTTATCATAAACTTATCTACTTTTCTTTTCTTTTCCTTTAAACCTAGTTCAACCTTTCCATATGCTATAATATATATGTATATATATACATATATATGTATATATGTATATATATACACATATATATGTATATATGTATATATATA